TGGGAAAAGCAAACTCGTCTAACTTTCAAATCGAAAGGCCGGACGTTTCGGGTCACTTTTGAATCACGGGAGCTGTCGACTCAATATGGATGGCACGAATTAACTCCTACATTGAGACATAATCGGGAAGGGACTTTAATAAAATGTTTGTACGTAAGAAAAGGACAAAGGGCGATACCAGGAAAACCTGTCAAGGATAAAAAAACCTGCACACAAATACACGAAATAAAACAACTACAACAAATGCAAAAGAGAAATACACAAACAAACATCTCAAGTTGTACAATAAACAACAGGTATCGAGTTAAAACAACAAGAACGATACACAAGAGGCATTATAAATCCAGGTGGAAAACATGATCAATCAATAAAGTACAAAAACACATTAAACAAATCTGCGATCAATTTAGGCGAAAAGACTCCTGAAATGGTAAATTGCATGTACAAAAAGGACTACGTCAATTAATTAATTTAGTAAGAAAAGTACGTGAGAGAATGCTAATAGTCAGTATTCATCTTAAAGTGCATTATCGCCCTAGCCAAACACTATAAATAGAGGAAATGCTAATTAGGGAACCCTCTTCTCGTGTATGCTAAGACACAAGAGATGCAGTCCGAACGAGATGACCAAGCAGCAGATACAGCGAAGAATCGGACTGTATGAGGTACTTACTCCACGGGAATAGTTACAGAGAAACATCAAATTAGAGAACTCCCTCCAAGCAATAGTTAAATCGAAACGCACAGAGAAACAAGACAGAAATAATAATAGTATATTGAAAGACAAGTGTTACAATGCGACCTATTGTAATACGACTATCTTGTGGCACGAGTGGCGACGCGAAGCGTAGCCATGAGTGTCCGCAAGATAGGAGTATTACAATAAAGCATTGTAACACGCGTTGTTCATACTATTTTTTCTATTTCGGTGCTTTAATTTAATTTAAAAAATATCAAAAACTATAGGGAACATTAGAACTAACATGTTTTATGTTGGGAACACTTTTTATGCCGTTAAGTTTTAGGTTGGCAGCGTAGTAAGACTGACATTTTGAAGTTCAAACATGGAAGTACCCAACGAAGTACCTACTTGTACTAACTAGTAACTGCCAACTTAAGAGATGAGTTACCAAAGAAAACGACTATAATCACTGTCTTTGTACAACTGTTTTAGGCCGAAAACAGTTGTACAAAATCATCATTGTGACACCGAAATAGAAAAACGTATATTGTGAATACATCAATAACTACTTAATAAAGCAACATAAAGGCATAATTACCTGCACAGTAACTGTGCAGAACGGTCGAGGTTGTAGATTTCATGGTTGTTGTATACACAGACAGTTTTGTATTTTTCCCATACTGCCATTATTTCAGTTGTAAGGTGTGTTGATTAACACAACTAGGGGTATGCCTCGGGGTATGCTACCTCAACATGCATGCCTCAGGAAAAACTGTCAACATTACAAAGATCTTAGAAAAAAACTGAGACAACCAATTGAACGTCAACTAGGAGCGGATCTTAAAAATGAGATCAGCAATTACGGGATGGGTCTTTGTAGCGATGACGTACCAATATTTCAAAGGGCCAAAGAAAAACTGCAACACAATACAATTCTACAATCTAGCATTGCAAGAACTTAGAATGAAGATAAATGAATCAGAAACAATAGGAAGGGCAATCTCGAATAAAAAATATTAGGCAAGAAATAATTTAATATGAAGTTGGGAAACGCCATAGCGAAGAGGAACTTTATGTGCAACACCATAGTTAAGAAAAGAAGCGGTAAGAAGAAGAACTATAACTTCAAGTAGGTCAAGGAAAATTCAAGCAGTTGAAATGAATTTTCTTATACTAATTAAAGGAAAAACTAAAAGAAACAAAGAAAATTGGAAAAGCCTTTTAAATGTTAAATGAATTTGCACTTGGATGTATGTATGTATCTGTATTGAACCAGGTTTGTTAATAGAAAATTAAACATATTTAGACATTTTGGGAAGCACTAGGTATACTGATCACAATTGAAACAAAGGCAGTTAGGCAGTACGAATAGAATTTTCAAGCGGAATCTTCAGCTGCAGTATTTGGAACATATCCTAAATGTCGTAAGTAAATAGTAGCACGGAATAATTTTCACCATTTTCACAGGGAATTTTACCTACACTCTAAAACACTGATGTTGTAGTGCAAGCAGTAATAGAAAGAGTAGGTAGTCACATTACAAACTACAGGTAGGCGATTGAAATTGATGGATTTATACAAATTGTTTTCAACCCCCTTAAAGTCTGTCATTTATTATCAAACCGGAAACGCAGATTTACCACCGGGAAACGCATTGTTGTATCCGGAAGTGCGTCGAGGTTCTATCGGTGTCAACAGATGGTACTCGTACAGGAGATTCCCCATCGATTAACAGGCTACCACATTCAATTTGGTAACACGTTTCTGACACACGCCGGACATCGCAGGTTTCCGGTAATAAGCACTTCACATTTTCCTTCGCTACATTTGAAAGTTTGTCACTTTTAGAGAAGCCTTTTAGAAAAAAATCTGCAGCTCGAGTGATCACTCCACCTGATTATTGGCTAAACAAACAAAATTAAAATTAATATAAATAAACGGTAGGCATAACGAAATCAAACCGCAGGGGTAGCATTAGTTTATTTAAAGGGCGTTCATAAACAAGGGTGGCTTCTTTATGAAGCTTATATCCATACTTCACGGTATAATTTGTAGTATACATTGAGAAGCGTATTTGTCCAAAATTCCCAAGGGACGTCTCGTTGTGATTCGCTGGTATTTGTTTTATTTAATTAATTAAGGACAAAAATGTTACGCCGCGTTATAAAATTGTAAATAATCATTAGGAAACTAACTGATGAATCATGCACCGCGCGGCAGATGGCTTAGTGAAGCTCTAAACACGCACATCAAAGAAGCCAAAGCTATCATGACACGACAGATGAAATAGCGAGTTAACTTTGTAGGTTGTTATCTATCTTGTTCAGATCGTTACGTTTTGTATGACCCTATCTTTGTGTAACGCCACCCCCTGTGGCTTACAGCTGCCGACTGTTAAAGCTATCGGGGTAATTATTAGCCTAATTTCGCCTTCGTAAAAAAGTACTTATCAACGATTAATATTCATTCGATAACATGACAGTGCTACCTACTGTCGACAAAAGATGAAAAATGCAGATCGAACTACTAAATGCCAAAGAGACTCAAATGCATAGCTAAATTTAGTAGCAACGTAGACCGAAGCAAATGTTCTGGCCTGCCAGATTGTATTTTACTGCATACAAGTGCCCAAAAAAAGGTATCAAAACGTGTAGGAAGAAAACTGGAATTGCACAAACTCAAATCAAAGATGATAAAATTTCAGTTATTACAAAAGATCACATTTGTACCGTGAAACAGAAATAGAAAAGTAACACTGGGTATGCCAACCATTGACTGAGCGCCCTAACAACAAATCCAATGTGGGAGTGAATTAAAGAAACTGCAAACAATCCCCAAAATTGTGACTAAAAAAACGCATGGACGAATTCTCTCATATTATTTCAGCAATAGAAGGGCATGATTTCCCAGTTTGTTTGTTAATTTTTTTTTCAAAATGTATACCTTAAGATGACCCACATTTGGGGTTTCAGAGCCTTTTAGCATGTGAACAGCGAATCATAAATTATTTTTTGAAAATTCGAAAAAAATTTTAACCAATTCTTTGTCAGATACTAAAAAAATACCACAATTTCATGGAATTTGCTGGATATATAATCTTTATGTACTTTAGAGCAAAACTGTTGACAAGTTACTGTCGGAATTCCTTAATTGCTCGCCTCGCCCAAAGGTGACTTCATAAACTATATGTGACATGTGTTCTACGTTGGAATAATTTGAAATCTTACGATATTTGTTGTTATTGTGCCAGGAATTACATTCCATAAATTTTTGAAGAAAACAGTTTTAAATTCATTATTTTCCACTGATTAAATTCCGTCATCAGATTCGTTTTATAAAGCCATGCGGTGGCACCATTTTTGAAGCAGGAATGGTGCAAAATTGGAAACATACCCAAAAACCTAGGTAAAGTCGTCTACTCTCCTATGTGCTGATCGAGGTGGCTGAGAACAAGCTAAAACTGGAAGGAACATTTTGGAACCACGACATATTTCTCAGAAACATTTATTTTGGTTCTGTCTAACACCAATTTTACGGGCGTTCTTCTGTCTGTCCGTCCGTATGAGAGACGAGATCTCCGCACTGGAAAGACATAAAGAGCTCGTTGATGTCTCGTTTGATAGATTGCAATAAGCTTTTTTATGTGCATTCTCTACCGGCGTCGCAATATTCTGAACTCATTAAGAGGCATTGAAACTTGGACGGACTTCATTTCCAATACCGTTTATTAGTGAAATTTTACCATAATTTCTTAATTTCGACACTATACAATTTACAATAATATTAAAAACCCAAAGGGGTCTACCCTTAAACTCAAAATTTATCAGATTTGCAAAGAAAATTCGAGAAAATTTACAAGAATTTAAATTCAAACTACCGTTGCAAGATATAATGTTTGATGATGCTTAAATTTGGGAAACATTTTCAATTATCCACCAATTTCTACGCAGATACGGCAAAACACATTGACTTGATGCACAGGAACTAACCATTCGTCTTTCCAATTTGTCAGAACAAAATCTTGATTTATTCACCAATTTCATCGGA